AAGGTTTGTTGTGATATGGAATCTGAAAACGTATCAATGAACTTTTCATACTCCATTACCTTAAAATCCATATGTCTGTCTCCCACATTGAATAGGTCTTTTGTCCATCATGATTTTTTAACTTTATGATTAGTTTTTGGAAAATATTGATTCCTGAGTTTTGCGAATCTTACAAATGTTGACACAGTCCCCCCCCACCCCCTGCCAAATTACAATTACTAATATCAGTCCTAATCTCATCAGAAAAAAAAAAATCTTTTCTTTCAGTCTCAGGATGGTGGATACAAGTTTTACAGAATTCTAATTTTCATTTAAAATCTCCAATTTTACCATGGACAGTAAATCCTATTGCTTTTGTTGAAGTGCCAGACTTACTTCATCCATTTTTAGGATATGTCTGCCAAATCTGAATAATTACAGCTTTTCTGTCAGTTGTTCTTTAAAGGAAAATGATGCTGCCTGAAAAAAAGGCAGCTAATTCAGCTCACAACTCAATTGTGCTTGCTTTTTCTCAGGACGGCCATTATACTGGGTACACAGAAAAAGTGCTTTATGTAGACTTCCCATTTTGTCACATGGAACATTAAAAAGATGTGTACTCAAGGGTAGAGATTTAATAAAAATTATTTTACTGCTTCATCAGGAGCTATTCTGTAACAAAACTGACTTTTTTCTTTTTTACTGCAGGTATGTGAAGAACACGGTGACTTTTAACATAGTTAGGTTTCTTGCAAAGATTCTAGCAGTTTTAGCCACCATTACTTTTGTGCTATTGGTGCATTTATCACCAACTAAAAAAGGCAAATAATGTCTTAGTAATTTTGACTCTAAAGAGCCATCAGGGTCATGGGTCACTATTTGAGAATGGCTACATTGAAGTATTTATGGGTGATGGAATCTGAAGCAACTGAATGAAACATGGCTCAGGAAAAAAGTTCCTTGTACAGTATTTGCAACTTTGATTGAGATTATTTCAAAATTAAAAAAAAAACATAAATAAATGGTAGCCTTTCAGATGAAAACTGAAATTTATGATAATAGTCATTTGTGAGTTTCAGCAAGATACCAGTAAATTCTTCTGCAGATTAAAAGACATATGTCATTTAGTAAACTTTTTGGCATCTAGTTGATTCTTAGCAAATGATAACTTATGAATTATTACTGTAATATCTGTTATCAGGTATTACTCCTGTTTAGTTGGTAGACTATTAATTGCAGCCCTAAGCATTTTACATGGTACCTTTGCGTTCTTTAGGACATCCTAAGAGTCTAGATGATTGTTGTCAGATCTGTATTCTTAGTTCCAATGATATAGGAGGAGATTCTAAATTAGCACTTTTGCTTTTACTTTGGTTTAATATGTAAAAACTGTACTCCTTCTACTTTAAATGAAAAGTGCTGTTTTGTGTTAAATAGAAAAATGGTTCTACTCTTGGCAAAATGTTGAACTATATTGATCTTCAGAGTATTAATTGCCATAAAGTAGTTATTTCAATAGCTGATATTTTAAATTCTATGGTAATTTTTTCAAAAGTTCCTGGATTGGTTTTGTTTTGACTTTAAAGAAATAAAAGCAACTAACTGTTAAGCTTCCTTTTTCTAAATACCAATGTGAGAGACCTAGATCTTGAAAAGAATACTTTTTCCTGTGGTGAGATTTCACAGAACCAGAATGGAATCTTGTAAGAACAAAGTGACAGGTTGAAATAAAAAGAGGTCACTTAAAAACAAAAACAGCACAATCAGCATTTTTAGACGAAAGGTACTGTGTGATATTTGACCTCTAATTAATTCTAACTATCTTTTTATTTGAAAAAAGAGATAAATGTTATGGAGGGTTACAAAAATATCCCTTTTGCTTTCGAACTTGATTTTTAGTTCATGTATCCTGCATGGGAAATTAGTCAACTCTGGTCCAGATCTTAACTGGTAGTACTCACTACCTTCTGTGTTCATGAGTTCCACGTGGTAGATTCAACCAACCCCAGGATCACGTGTTATGTTTACAATCCTGGGTTGGTAGAATTAGTGGATATGGTAGGCCGAATAGGGGACTTGAGCCTCTGTGGATTTTTATATTCACAGGGCGTCCTAGAAACAAAATACATCGATACCAAGAGACAAGTTTAATTTCATTTCTCAAGCCAACAAAGAGAGGTACCTCAAGAAAAAAAGTTGCTTTCCAAAAGAAAAAAAAAGTATTTTATGTGATTAAAAAAAAAAATGCTGAGGCATATTTGGAGGAATTGTTATATATCTTTATCCCACAGCACTTAGGGTATTTATTTTAACTTATCACAGCTTCTACCTTGGAAGAAAGACAATAGAGGCAGTCATGTCATGGCCTGTTGTGGTGGACAAGGATCAGGGTCCTCAGAAGTGTATCTCCAGAGCTTTGGTGCAGTTCTTACTCTTCTCTAGTGGTGGGCTGTTGCTGGGTTGTAGACTGGTGGTCGTATGAAGAGCCTCAGGTAGGAGACGTGGTGAATGCAAAAGTGAAGATTATATTGGGATGGCCAAAAGGTTTGCTCAAACCTGAATATAACGGTCCCCAGTTATGTTCCAGGCTCTTGTTGCATCCTGGGCCCAAGGTTAAAAAGGAAGGGTCCTGGTCAACCGGGGTGGCTTCTGTTGGCAGGGCCAGATGAGAGTTGATAGGCTATGGGAAGTGGGGAAGGGGGAGATGCCTAGATTTATTTCCATAGTTCCTAAGGAAGCCAGCTGTCTCCCACCCCAGCCTTTCAGAACATCTGTCATTATTCTCCTCTAATGGCCTTGGCCCAGAGAGCGGCATCTCCTGTCCTGTTTTTATGTCCGTGGTACCATTTTTGACTCACACAGCTTGGTGGTGGTGGTTTCGGGGGGAGTTCATGGAGTCCTCAAAGCTGGTCCACGGCCCTGGTCAAGAGCATGCATAGCCCATAACCCTGGGAAAGGAAATGTGAGAGCAGACTCCTGGATTCTTCTGGGGGAGTTTTCCTCACTATAAAAGGGACCTATAACAGGATGTCCCATTGCTGCTTCTGAACGTTACCTGCATGGATGCTTGGAATGGCAGTGGCCCTCTTGAAACCAAGAGAAGAGCCAGTCTAGAGGAATAAGAGAGGGTGGAAGGACCCTGGAACCTTTGTGACATTGTTGAGCAACTGAACAAAACAGATCCAAGTCCTTGTCCTCACAAGCTTAATTCTGGTGGGAGCGGACGACAATAGACATGTACATTAACAAAGTACATAGTAGGTTAGAGAGGGGTAAGCACAGTGGAATGAACAAAAGCAGAGAAGGGCAGATGGAGTACAGAAGAGGAGTAGCTGCCTTTTTTAAAGGCCAGTCAAGGAAGACTTCTCTGGCCCAGCAGAGACACAGGATCTGGAAGAGCATTCCAGACAGAGGGCATAGGAAGCGCAAAAGCTGTGAGTGTATTTGGAGAAGATTCTGTGTCTACAGAACTGCCTGGACCCCTGTGAACAAGGCTGGGGAATGACTGGAGAGTAGGTGGGTCAAGATGAGTTTGGTATCAGGCTGTTGCTGAAGACTTTGTTTCTTACTGTATGTGAGATGACACCCTTTGGAGGTTTGCAAGGAAGAAAGTGACAGGATCTGACCTATGTTTTTAAAAAAAGAAAAGCCCACAATAGGGGCAGCAAAGAAAAGAGAAAGAAAACAGTGTTAGCTGGACTAGAGCAGGATTCAGAGAAATTCAGGTATAAGTTCAAATTTTTATAGATCTGGAAAAACTTGCATCAAAAGCCATTTTATTTATCCTAATGTGGTGACATAAGAAAACTTACTTATGCCGTAGGTATATAAGGCTGTGCCATGGAAGTACATTCACCAAATCTTCTGAGATCTAAAAGTAAATTTGATTCAGTGGCTGTTAGGTGGATTTTATTACTAGAGAGAAAATTTCCTAAATGTCAGTGTATAGTGCTAGTGTGGAAACAGACTTTGCTTTTCTTAAATAAATAGATAAATTTTATCTTATTTTACCTCTGGAATAAAGTTTTACTTTCAATAAAAGATTTCCTTCAGCCTTTTGATTTTGGTCTTTTTTCTTGTGAATTGGTGACTCTAATAAAGGCAAAGTTCTTTACTTATTTGTGGTAAATTCTGTGAACCATTTGTGATAAGACATGTTGGACCAGCTATGGGGAAATTACAGCCCTATAACTGGCTGTCCATTACATGAACACATATCATAACTCATTTATATTCAAATTGTTGGTGTTCCTTTAACATTAGATAAGGTGTTTTCCAGGTCAGTTATTATCCTCTCTAGTTTATTCATGGATTCCTATCTAGGGTCGATAACTTTTCATTGAGCCTAACTAAGAATAAATCTGTCGTGAACCAGCTGTTTTACTTTCAGACATAAATCCTTTTAGGTCAAGAACAGAAATCTCTGAGGATTAATGCTGTATATTCTGTGATGAGCTGGCATTGACTTCAAAGGAAGAACATTTTATTTTTGGAAGTAGGGTTTTTAAATTAATTCTTTTGAATTCTCATCCAGTTCCAAAGAATAAACATTCTCCGAGACTTTATGGACTGCCTCCTGTATACCAGTACATAGTAGTGTTGATAGTACTAAAGGTAATATTTTTGTACCTTTGTGTTGATAGTACTAATGAGTATTAGTACCTTCATTTTCACAGGAGGATGCAGAGCCCCATAGAGGGTATGTGACTTGCTCAAAGCCATTTAGCAAATAAGTGTGGAAGTGAAATTGGTACCCATGTCTCGGTAACCTCACAGTTGATGCTGTGTTCTCAGAGCAGCTCACTAGTGAAGGCAGAAATCAACATGACATGTTCCTCCTCATGAGTATGCTTTCTCCAGTGTCTCACTTCTCAGCTTGTTATTTCCCTTAATGGCGCCCCACTCCAGTACTCTTGCCTGGAAAATTCCATGGACTGAGGAGCCTGGTAGGCTGCAGTCCATGGGGTTGCAGAGAGTCGGACACGACTGAGCGACTTCACTTTCTTTCTTTCTTACCCTAGGAGAAAAATTCAAAGTGGAAACAAAGACCATTGCTGTTGACTTTACATTAGAAGATATTTATGACAAAATTAAAACAAGCTTGGCAGGTCTTGAGATTGGTGTTTTAGGTTTGTATCTTTGTTACATTTATAGATTCTTCTTGCATCTATTGATTAGGACTGTTTTCATTTTGAATGTTAGGTGTTCAACTGGTGGCCTAACTAGTGAAAAGAAAATTGTCTTGTTGATACAAATGATCATTAGATGATATTAATTTATATATGCGTGAATCTTTACGTTTTGTGTTGTATTTTAATTACTACAATTTAGGTTGTTTTCTCGACCTGCTTTATTTCCAGTCTTTCATTCTCTTGGTATGTATTTAAATATAGCTATATTTTTATAATCTTTTACATCAGGTGCTGCTGACCCATTTTTATAGTTCAGGAAATAAAAGCTTACCTTTGTTCAGTATTACCTTCTCCCCAACAAGGAGTCTTTTTTAGACATTATTTTCCACTAATCTTCCCTCCCATGAAATTTTAATACCACAGATACACTGTGTATCTTGTTTATGTGCTATACCTGTGCTTTATATACAGAAAGGTTAAGAGCTCACACCACACGCCCAAAACAATTTTTGCCCACTGAGGGGAGCTATCACCCCAGTTGAGAAGATGTGACTCAGATGAGTGACTTGCCTGAGGTCACACAGAGGTTGAGAACTGCACCTGGGTTTTAGCCACCACCGTAAATCCCATACCTAAAAATGAGTTCCATTCTGAGAGTGTGTTCATAAGTCCACAGTTAGTAAGTTAGCCAAAGTTAGCCTAGGTCCCAGCTAACACAGCTGGCTATATAATACTGTACTGTAATGGGTGTATAATATTTTTCACAGAAATAACACATAAAAAACAAGCAGAAAAAACAAAAGAACATGTTTTTGATCTTACACAGTGCATACAGTACCTTGAAAAGTCCTATTGAGTACTGTTGTACTTTTGTACTTTTCAATAGTGTACTAAAAGTACTACCGTACTTTTCAGCAGTGGTGTACCAGTCATATCACTGCTGCTTTAAGCTTGCTTTGGACGTCCTGGGCTTAAAATAAAGATACTGCACAACTCCACTGGATACAGTTGTTGTTGTTGTTCAGCCGCCCAGTCGTATCTGACTCTTTGCAACCCCGTGGACTGCAGCATGCCAGGCTTCTCTGCCCTTCACTATCTCCTGGAGTCTGCTCAGACTCACGTCCATTGAGTCGATGATGCCATCCGACCTCTGTACAGTACTGTACAGTCAGGTACACAAAAGCACCGACACTTGGGATGATGCGTGCATATGACAGTGTACGCCACACACGTGCACTGACTTACGTGATTGGACATGTGGATGCATGTTCACATCTTTAAAAGTTTGCAACTTGAAGGTTCACGTGTAGCGGACTTACTGTATTTGTTTTTTTCAAGTCTATTACTTCCTTATGTTACACCTCAGCTACCTTACTCTTATTACCAAAAATCGATGCTTTTGCTGAGATATAGGAACTATTAGACCTTGTTACGGAAAAGATTCACCAGATTTTAAGGAGAAAAAAAATAACAGGCTTCAAAAAGTTACCCGCCATTCTCTGACTCATTTCTAGAAAGAAAAAGGGCATCTAGTTCAGAAAAACATCCCTTCTTCACTAAATCTCTTTATCCCCCTGCCTACATTGGTGTGAATCTGGTACTTGCCATTGTTTTCTGTATTGGAGTATAACAGGAGGAATGACAGAGAAAATACTTTTAAAAAAATGTTTCCTAATTTTTCTTTAGTCAAGACTCCACCTGTCTTCCTCATACTATAAAAGAATGACCTCTCATATAATTAATTGGTAAGGCAATTAGAAAGTACTATACACGTATCGCCCTCCATGGTGCCCTTGGGCCTGGGGTTAACCCTGGCTTTACTATACTATCTTCTTGGCCCCTGCCTGGCCCGTGTCACCATCACCATGCCCCACTTACCCTCAGTGCTACTCTCACACTTGTAGGAGAGCAAAAGATGAGTGAACACACTGTTATAGTATTTGCCTCGTTCTTCTCTAATGCATACACTGCCTGGAGTCTTTCACAAGCTCTTCTTCCTTTAGCTAAGCGTAAATCACGACTAACATTGTTAAAACTGGACTTTTTTCTAAACTTCCAAGTGAGTAGCAGCTATAGCTTACTAGTTAGGATAGACACTGCCAAAATCTCTCCGAAACCCTTTCCAGCTAGTCATGGATTAGAGAGTGAAGACTGACTTAGGCCAGGAGGTGCGTTGAGGACCCCTAATGAGAGGAGACTTATTTTGAACTTGTGTTCTTGGAGAATGGCTTTCTTTCAGGGGTAGTTCAGTTAATCACAGTGGTTCTTAGCTTTGTAAGATTTCAGCTGCTTTTCACCAGGTGACTTTAGAATTGTAACTCCTCTGGGCTGTGCCACTGAAGATGGAAGATGTCAGGCGTCAGGCTGCTGAAGGGCTTGTTGCTGCCGCGCAGTCTCAGTCCTGTCCAACTCTTGGCAACCCCATGGACCGCAGCCCGCCGGGCTTCCCTGCCTTTCACTGTCTCCCAGAGTTTGCTCAAACTCATGTCCACTGAGTTGGCGATGCCATCCAACCATCTCTTCCACTGTCACCCCTTCTCCTCCCATCCTCAACCTTTCCCAGCATCAGGGTCTTTTCCCAATGAGTCAGCCCTTCGCATCAGGTGGCCAAAGTATTGGAGCTTCGGCTTCAGCATCAGTACTTACTAGTTAGGATAGACACTGCCAAAATCTCTCCGAAACCCTTTCCAGCTAGTCATGGATTAGAGAGTGAAGACTGACTTAGGCCAGGAGGTGCGTTGAGGACCCCTAATGAGAGGAGACTTATTTTGAACTTGTGTTCTTGGAGAATGGCTTTCTTTCAGGGGTAGTTCAGTTAATCACAGTGGTTCTTAGCTTTGTAAGATTTCAGCTGCTTTTCACCAGGTGACTTTAGAATTGTAACTCCTCTGGGCTGTGCCACAGGAGATGGAAGATGTCAGGCGTCAGTCAGGCTGCTGAAGGGCTTGTTGCTGCTGCGCAGTCTCAGTCCTGTCCAACTCTTTGCGACCCCATGGACCGCAGCCCGCCGGGCTTCCCTGCCTTTCACTGTCTCCCAGAGTTTGCTCAAGCTCATGTCCACTGAGTTGGCGATGCCATCCAACCATCTCTTCCACTGTCACCCCTTCTCCTCCCATCCTCAACCTTTCCCAGCATCAGGGTCTTTTCCCAATGAGTCAGCCCTTTGCATCAGGTGGCCAAAGTATTGGAGCTTCGGCTTCAGCATCAGTCCTTCCAGTGAACATTCAGGGTTGATTTCCTTTAGGGTTGGAGTGTTATAAAAGGCATTCTTCAGCTGTTCTTTCCTGACCCAGTATATAGAAAGTCTACAGCGTGAGTTTAGGCACAATAGGTAGATCTATGAAGGATGAGGTACAGGGTACCCACTTCCAGAATCCTAGGACTTGTGTTAGTACATAAGCATTAATATTGAGACCTAAGAATTGATATTTTCCTGGGCCACATATGCTAACAGAACCGCTGCTTTTGTAGTCCAGCCCCTTAGTAAATTGCAGCCTGCAAGTCTGCAGTTTCCACCCTTCTTTAGTCATTCACCAGTCAGTCAACTGGAGATACAACAATGAACAAGAAAGCACCTAGCTTTATGTAGTATAATGTTCTGAATGGAAGGACAACCCTGACCAAAAATCGTTATCAATGGGATAAGTGTTGAGATGGGGAGGGCAGGGTGTAATAAAGAGGGTAAAAGGAACGGCAGAGTTGATACTGGAAAAAATAGTGGTGACGTGGCCTAGCCAGTAGGGTAGGGAAAAGGGTGATTCCAGAAATATGGACGGAGTAGAGGAAGCAGGACTCTACATGTGAGAGACGCAGGAGAACTCTTGATGACCTTCAGGTTTCTGGCTTGAACATCTGTGTCAATAATACCATCTAATAAAATGGGGAATCCTAGAAAAGGAATCTTTTTGGGAACGAGGATCGTTTAAGATTGGGGTTCCTCTAGGATGCCCAAATGGGTTTTTTTTAAATTAATTTTTATTTGAGTATAGTTGCTTTATAAAACTGTGTTAGTTTCTCTTGTACAGCAAAGCGAATCAGCTATACGTATACACGTATCTCCTCTTTTTTGGATTTCCTTCCCGTTTAGGTCAGCACAGAGCACAGAATAGAGTTCCCTGTGGTATACAATAGGTTCTCGTTAGTTATCTATTTTATATACAGTAGTGTATATGTGCACTTTTCTGATGGCTCGATGGTAAAAAAAATACGCCTGCCAATGCAGAGATTGCCTGCCACTGCCAACTCAGGGCTGGATCCCTGGGTCAGGAAGATCCCCTGCAGGAGGAAATGGCAGCCCACTCCAGTGTTCTTGCCTGGGAAATCCCATGGACAGAGGAGCCTGGCGGGCTACAGTCCATGGGGTTGCAAAAGAGTCAGATACAACTTAGCGACAAAAGCACCACAACAGAGGTGTATTTATGTCGATCCCAGTTCATCCCCTCCCCACCAGGTGGGGTTGTCAAGCTGGACTTATGGGTCTAGTTCACAGTAGAGCTCTGAACTAGACAGAGAGCTTAGAGGTCAGTCATCTCTGAGTAGTCGTCTCACTGGAGAAAGGAGACTGGAGCTAATCCAAGGAGAATGGAGAGAAAGTAAAGAGGAAAACTGGGACAGAGCTCTGTGTCATCAAGGGCTGCCTGGAACTAGTGTGGAAGAGGGGTAGTTTTTTGCACAAGTTCAGCATTGTCCACTGGAAATATAATGCAAACCTCATATGTGATTTTAACCTGTCTTGTAGCCACATTTTTAATAAGTGAAAAAAACTAATTTTAGTAATGTATTTTATTTTAACCCACTATATCCAAAGTTTTATCACTTTAACCAAGTAATCAGTGTAACATTTTTGGAAACATTTTATGTTCTTTTTCTCATACCAAGTCTTCAAGTCATAGGGTATGTTTGACATTTATAACATTATCTCAGTTCAGACTAGCTACCTTATAAATGTTCGGTAGCCATCCATACCAAGTGAAAGTGTTAGTTGCTCAGTGTGTCTG